TGGATTCAATTATATTCAAGAGTTATATTTGATTATTCGTGGGAGCATGTATCTTATTAACATTCCTTCTCACTGGTGAAACTAGTCTCAAGGGCACAATAGGCATTCCATTGTTGCTTTTTAAAATTCATGAATATTGATAGCTCAAAATTTTTTCGTCTCATTCTGATGAGCCTTGTTTTTAATTTTTCAAGCCATATTTGACAACTACATTGTATTTCTTATGTTGTAGAGTTACACATTTTTTAGATTCAATTACTTTTGTTTTTAGATAAGCTTTCTTATCTCAAGCTGTCGTACAATCCATTCAATGGGCAGTGGACTGTCACTGACGAAGAAAGTAAGGTTGAAGGTGAGGGCAGAGTCTCTGAGCAGCTGGAAAAGGCTTCAATAAATTAAAGATTATTTTTAAAAATTAAAATAACAATAATAATAATAATAATAACAAAAATTAGAACATAGCACCAATTAACACAAATTTTGTAATGTTTGATCTGCATCAATTTTTATCAAGTTTTTAAACTTAAAAAATTATGTTGCCATCTATCATATCTTTAGCTGCAGCTTCAAAATGAAAGTATTCAGTTCAAAATATTAACATAGTTCCAATCCTACTTGAAACACAGAGGGAGAGTATTCTATAGATATGACCAAAATGCCATAAAACAACTGAGAGAAAAAAATTCAAAAAAATTAGGTCGTAAGAAAAGGAGAAATAGTGAAGAGAAAGGGACAGTGGAGAGGGTAATAAAGAGGAAAATTTAATAAAATAATGCAAACGAATGCGTGTGAGTGATTCCGATATGATTAAGTCCATGCTATACAGAAAGAATTATTCACAAGAAATGGGAACAACAGAAGATTACAAGGAGTAAAGAGACTCTGGGATGGAGATGCATCCAGGAAGAGAGAAAGTAGATGCATCTAATGTAACAAGACCTGCTCCAGCTCGGCTGGTATTCATCGAAGAGATTATCTCCCATTTGTCTCGTTTTGGGTCGTACATTTCGGCGGAGTTTAAATAGACTTTGCCGTCATGGCCCCCGACAGCACAGAGGTACTGGCCGAGAGTTGTGAGTCCCACGCCTCCGCGACAAACATTCATGGACTGAACAAACTGCCAAGTGTTAGTGACTGGATCATACCTTTTGTAAGGAGGAAGAGAGAGAGAGAGAGGGTGAGAAAAGTATAAATACATGTACATGTTCTTTGGCCAAATTTTGCCAAAAAATGACTAAGAGAGAGCTTTCCATTTTTATGATTTTTTCTGATATGTATACATGCATAAAAAGTTTGAGCTGATTCCAATCAAATTTAGATTTTTTTATAAATTTTAAAAGCTACTCAAAAAGCCATGTACATGTACTACCTATTATAGTTTAGCTCACTTAGCACACATTTTGTGGGAAACCCTGGCTACTATATACATTTGACAGACATGCACTTTTATCAATAACAGGAAATGTTCAATGCCCACAGCTAGTAACCAATCCAACCACAGCTCTCACAGAAACCAAGCCCCAAACCACGCCCACTCACCTCTCAATAGTCTCCAATGGAGAAGCATCATCAAATCCTCCAACAGCATAAAGAAAGCCATTAAGAGCAGC